TGACATGGTCTAAGCATATGTTAAATAGCAGTGGTGACAGAACACATCCTTGTTTTACCCCATTTCTTACTGCTATTTCTTTACTGATATTGCCCTTGTGCATCACTCTGCAGTTTGCGCCGCGGTACATTTCTTTTATCAGGTTGACGATCTTTGCAGGGACTCCTCTATTTTGCAGGATTTTCCATACTGCCTCCTGGTGAAGCGTGTCGAATGCTCTTTCGAAGTCGACGAAACATAGTGCTAACGATGTTTGGAATTCTTGGGATTGTTCTACTATAAGGCGTAAGGTATTGATGTGGTCTATAGTTGATCGGTGTGGCCTGAAACCTGCTTGTTCCCTTCGTAGGGTTGGTTCTAGTGTATCCGCGAGTCTGGTGTGCAGAATGGTCCCGACGAGTTTGTTTATTACATTGAGCAGTGTAATGCCGCGCCAGTTCTTGCATAAGATTAGGTCACCTTTTTTAGGTAGTTTTACTATGAGCCTCTCTTTCCAATCATCAGGGAGTTTTTCTTGTTGCCAAACATTTATTATAAGTGAGTAAATGACGGTCTCGACAATGTCCGGGCATTGTACCAGTAATTCTGGAGGAATATTGTCTGGGCCTGCTGCCTTGTTGCATTTTAAAAGTTTTATAGCTTTCTTGACCTCTTCGTAGCTTGGTTCAGTTGTGGGAATTCTTGCATCGTTTGAGGGAGTTGGAGATTCACTTATATCTTCGTTTCCATCGGGGAGCGTACTTAAGCTAGTGTTGATGTGTTCATACCATCTGTTTATTTGGTCAGTCGTGGAGGTGAAATTTTCGCCATTTTTGTCTTTCACAGTTGAGCAGTTATTGGCAAAATTCTTATTCGCTAATTGCCTGGTGATTTTGTACAGTTGTCGCGAGTTGCCTTGGACAGCTGCTGTTTCGGCTTCTTGGGATAAGTTTGTTACCCATTGTCTTTTGTCTCGTCTGGCTAGTTTTTTCACTGCTTTGTTTACTGCTCTATATTCTTTCCTCAGTTTGTTTTTTGTTCCGTTGCACTTGTGTTGTTCATGCTGTTGTGTATTACCTTACGAAGTCCGATTTTGTCCCATGTTTCATCGGTGATCTAGTCTTTTCTGTCGCCTTGTTTCGTTCCCAGAATTTGCTCGGCGGATGCGAGCATTGCTTTTCGAGCCGTCTCCCAACTCTTCCCACTCTCTTCGCCTATGCCTATATTGTTAGTTTTTTCTAGGACCGCTTGTTGGAATTTTTCTGTTATCGCTTCTTCCTTGAGAAGGTCAACATTGAATTTTGGTCTACAATTTATGTACATGGAGTTTTCTCATCGTGTTTAGCTTGATTCTGCTAATGAGCAGGTAGTGGTCGCTTGCTATGTCCGCGCCCCTGTAGCTTCTTACATCTAGTAACGTTTGTCTCCATCTGCTACTAACTGCGATGTGGTCTATTTGGTTCGCGGTGCGGTGGTCGGGGAATCGTCGCTTTGTGGATATCCTTATGCGGAAATAATGTACCACCTATGACCATTTCGTGACTGCTACATAAATCAATGAGTCTATCCCCGTTATCATTTTTCATTCCCAATCCATGTTTTCCTATGACGTGCTCTAAATTTGTGTTGTAGCAATCTACTTTCGCATTAAAGTCACCTAGTAAAAAGATTATGTCTCCTCTTCTAATCTTGTCTAGCGTGGCTCTCAACACGTAGAAAATGTCTTTGTCTTCCACACCGGCTACCTCTGTAGGAGCATAACACTGGATTATACTGACTTTCTTATGTTGTGTCTGGATTCGTACGGTGATGATTCTGTCATTTATCGGTTTCCACTCTATTATGGAGTTACGTGTCTGCTTTCTTACTAGAATGCCAACGCCGCTTTCATGTTTCTCACTCTGATTTTTCCCCGAGTACAAAAAGATGTCGCCATTTCCTATCACATGTTCTCCAGTTCCTTTCCAACGTGTTTCGCTGAGCCCGAGGATGTGTATTCTATACCTGCCCATTTCCCTTGAGACTTGTGCCAGCCGGGATGGTTCTGTCATGGTGTTCACGTTCCAGCAGCCAATTCGTATAGCCTGATTCTTGCGGTTCGTCGTCGTCGTAGGGTCGGTCCGGTTATTTCTTGTGGAAGTTTCTGGAATCAGTTAATGTAGGGCGTATAGATGATTGGTCTGTAGCGCCCGATTCTGGTGTCGGGATTGCCGACTGTGGCTTCCAGACAAGCCCTAAATACGTATATACAGGGTGACTGCGAAAGATATGCAAATATTTTAACCATGGCATCCCCCACCCTAGTAGAGCCGAAATATAGAAAAAATAAATTAAAAATCGAATGGGGCAAAACCCCCATGAACCACTCTCGATACGAAGGCACTGAGCCACCTTGTAAACAGAGTTGGAAAAACGTTCGAATAAAAACGACCTAAACACTTTCAGTTTCAATTAAAAGTAAAACCGCCTTTTTGCTGCTTATCATTCGTTCATTCATTTACTCATTCATCGTTAAAGGTCAGTGTGAAAGTTTAATTAATTAGGTAATTTTGACGGATGTTTGGTCCTTGTCACAACGATTTTACATTGTTTATTGGAACAGAAATAAGAGCAACTTAGAATGCTACTACCTTTTTACAAGAAATGTTGAAAATGTTCTCCTTGACTAGCAATACAAGCGTCAGAGCGTCCCAAGAGGTTTGTTGATAGGTAAAAAGACACCGGAGTAGCGGCTGCCACTTTCACTTGTTGAAGCTCTTCGATAATTTCTGCACACTGTTTATTTCCACAAACGAATTGTTTCATCCAACCAATACACGCTTCTCGAAAACCGTCTCTTGAAATCATACTTGTTGACGACTATGTGGAGTTCCATCGGACAAAAAGTGAATTACACAACGTGGACAATCAGCGGGTTCCAAACCGTGCACGTTGTCAACATGGTATGGTTGTGACCGTGTACTTTTAATATAGGATGCACTACAAGCTGCGAAAATCCAATTTCATCTTTCTGTCCCATCACGACCACGATCGTGAGTTTGAGGTTGAAGGTACCATGATCTCGGAGATGCTGTACCACTGTTGGAAATGTTCGCGCACACCAATTACCATATCGACACACTCTGCATTGGAAAACTGGACCATACACAAATTTCAACGACCGCTCGATAATGACTGGCTCTTTTCGTGTTTTTCACGTTGCGATTAAAAACGTGCCTGATAAAGTTACATTTTTGGTTCTTACTCCGAGTCCCCTGCCCATTCATTGCAGTAATTATGTAGGTCACGAAACATTACCAATTATAATGTAAATAATTATAACAATTTACATTTAATTTCAAATAATTTTTTCTACACACTGCTACCACCTAGGACCGTGAATTTTTGCCAGTGACATAATCATATTGTGAGCTATTCTCCATTTTGTTTTGCATGTATTTCGCAGTCAGCCTGTATAATTTTTTTATTTTTTTTTAATTATTATTATTTCCTTTTTTTTTCTTTTTTTTTATTTATTTATTATTTTTTTTAGTTTAATTTTTATATAACTATATCTATTTATTTTTTTTATTTTCTTTATTTTTTTTTTTTAAACATTTAAACTAAGTTAACTCGGTCTGTATATCTTCTTTGTTTGTGATTTTGTTTTAGATCCCTCTTCTGGTGAACATTCGGCTGCGGTGCGCTTTTTAAATTTTATTTCTTCCTGGTCTACTTGGTTGAAGTGTTTAATTCCGTATTTAGCCCCTTCGATTATTAGTTGGTCATATTTTAGGAATGCTTTTTCCCCGTTTTGCCGCGCTACTTTTAAGTGGGGGATCAATCTTCTTCTTATATCTTGAACAGCCTTAGTGACAGCGTCGTCTATCCAAATGTTGCTGTCTTTCAACTTTTTAGCGTTTTTGTATATTTCAATTTTTTTATGGAATGACTGCAGTTTAACTAAGATCGGTCTTATTTTTCCTTCTCTAAACTTACCTAATCTAAATGTTTCGTTTGTGTCTAAACTGCCGTTTAGTGAAACACCGATCCTAGCTATAAGCTCTTCTATTTTCATTTGTAAGTCTCCAGTGCTCTCATCTGCTGTGTCTTCCAGGCCTTTTATTACTATGTTTCTTTTCCTGGTCTCATCAAATATTCTGAACTATACAGTAAAATACGCTTAATCAAAACTGTTTTTGGTTAACCACAATTGCTTGCTTTGAAGTGAAACTGACAATTCAAAAACCAGGCTTAAAGTGACTTGATTGATGGTCAGCAAACTTATCCATATTTGGTGATGAGATGCATTCATTTATGATATTCGTTAAAGAAAATCTAAATAAAGAAATGTGCTTCGTATGAATTTCCATTGAAGTGATTTGACTGGGTGCTGTCTCTATTTAGGTGTTGGAATATGCTTAGGAGATTATTCGCAGGAGTAAGTCTAGACATAAAGATAAGCGCGATGTGATTATTGGAGGCTGTGAAAAGTAATAAGTGGTTTTTGGCTCAGTTATTTGAACATATTTCTGGCAAGAGGGGGTAGGCCGAATGACGAGAGGGAAACTTTGTGCCATGAGGGGTTATTTTAGTGACAAAACTTCCGGTCCGCCGCAATTTCATGTCTTACGTTTACAGTAGGTTCAATAAAATTGACACATAAATAGAAAATCTATGTACGATATGATAACATACGTTAACGCCTTTCTTAAATATGCAACTTATATTATTTAGAACGCTTACTATTTCTAAAGTACTTATTACTTTTGTTTATAATTTTGAATTAAGGTAGTAAGCTTTTTATTCATATTTTTTCGTACTTCGCTGTATTTAGGGCCGGTTTATAGAAACCGAGTTAAAGTTAGTTCGCGATTACCTTTTAATTGAGGTCCGTTGCTGGGTAACGTGCATGTTTTAGCCAATCACAGGCTCATATTCTACAATTAAATCCTGTGCTAAATTAATTGAGGATTAAGTATTTAATTCGCTTTCTATAAACAGGCCCGTAAGTTTCTAAAACACATATTTTCTTTTGATAGGTAGAAGAAATAGAAGTCGAAAAGAAGTTAACTTGTCCTCTCATCCACTGGTACCCAAACTTTGATCAGTTTAGTTTTTCTCCTCGAACAATTGTACCGACGGAAACTACCTGTTTCGTAATGAAAATGTTTCAAGATCTCGGATTTTGTAAAACTTTTTCAATTGAGAAGAGTATTTTTCTTCGATTTGTCTTCCATATCAAAAATGGATGTCGCAATATACGTTACCACAACTGGAAACACCTGTTTTCCACCGCTCACTTTGCGTACTTATGCTTGAAAAATCTGCAATTGATGGAAAAAGCCTATATAACGTAAGTTGATTTTTTGTGTCTGACTTGACTGGTGTCAGTTACCCTTGCGCTGCAGCAGTGGCGGCTGGTCAGGGGCGGCATGAACGCCTATGCCGTACCAGTCATTTAAAAATAATAACCGTTTACTTAGGAAATAGAAAAAAGAAACAAAATTAGAATATTTTTCTTAGTAAATTACTTACGAAGTAATCCCATACACCGCCCCGGTACTCTGCCACGGCGGAGTTCAAATAACGAAACGCCTAGAAGCTGAAGTATCGGTGGGGGTTCCAGAACAAACTCCAAGCAGCATACGCGAACTCTTGAGAAGCAACACGTGGGTGTTTAAAAAGGGACCACCGTCGGGAAGAGTCACTCTAGTTTTTTAATCGAGTTCAGAGTCCAAGTCAAATCAGGGCGCAGATTACACGGACCGAATTATCCGCTATATAATTAGTTAGTCCACGGCCAACTAAGATCTGGCGTCCGCTGCGCTCCCGACGGCCGTAACATTATGTCGAATTTCAATTTGTTGAAACATTTTGAATTATTTTTTTTTAAATATACCCCGCCATAAAGGCAACAGATGCTGAGTATATGGTATTTTCCGCATTAATGGTAATGGGTTTTCCAAAATTTCAAATTTTCTCTAATAAAGGAAATGGTAATATTAAATCTGCATCACATAAATCAAATGGCGTAATAGAATTATGTCTTGAAAAATTTGAAATTTTTGCTCTACTAACGCAATCAACATTTTCAGCTGTATTTGAAGATTTAGATTTTACTATTCCACAACGTAAATTTGTCTTAACAGGGCCGCCGTAAGCGGGGGTGCAAGGCGTGCACCGCACGCGGGCGCTGCCAAAGGGGGGCGGCAAATTGGCAAGCAAAGCAGCACTTTTCCAAATTCTCAAAATAATTAAAAAAAAATTACAACTCTAAAAAAATTGTTTATTGAGACTTTGGGAGAAAGCAAAGTAAGGATCATCCGGTCATCAATAAATCAATAAACATCTGTTTTTTTTTTATAGTGCATGGTGAACAGTGTAGATCGGTAAAGCATAAAGGAATAAGATTTGAGAATTGCGGGTGTTGTTTGTCGGAACATGAAGGAGGATATTAGCAATAAATTAATAAATTATTTTAGTGATTCACAGAAAGGTGTTAAAAGAACATTGCTCTAAAAATTTGTTGGTATCCGAGCTGGCAAATGCAACAATAGTTGTTATTATTTGTACTTGTGGTTTGGAGCTTGCACTGTTCGGAGGAACAGACGATAATTTTATTTTATTTATACGGTATCACATTTGCAAAATCTTTGATGATTTGCTGGAAATATCCAAAGATACTTCTTCATGGTACTGTATCATAACACATGAAGTGTATTTATTGGCTTTAAACATACAAAAGTATAAATTTATTTGTTCAACGATAATTTAATTTGATATTTTGAATCAAATCAACATCTTAACTAAAATGATGCAGAATCCTAACATCAACATCAAAGTATGGATCAACTGACTTAAAGATGTAATAAGTTACTGTAACAAATATCGTTCAGATGAAGGTTTTGCTAAAATTATAACTGAAGCAGACAAACTTGCCTATGAAATTAATGTTGAACCATTTTTTCCGTCAATGTTACCGTGCGTCCAAGAAGAAAACCAAAACATTTTGATTACGAGCAAAATGACGAAGTTCTTGTAGATCCAAAAATTAATTTTAAAATAATTTTTTTTTACCGAATTCTAGACCAAACTTTGTCTTCTTTAAATAATAGATTTGAGGAACTAAACACATATGATAATGTATTTGGGATTTCAATAATGTGTTTTAAGTCCTCAGAAGAAGACATGTTAAAATCCTGTAAAGATTTACATTTAAAACTTACAGTTGATTTCCTTGGTGAGATCGACATTGACATATTTAATAAGATTAAAGCTTTAAAACTGCACCCTTCAGCTAAACCGTTAGAAGATCGCCACCAAATTTTACGTATTTGTGTGAAAACAATTTAATCCCAACTTTTCCAATACATCAATAGCATTTTATTAGAATTTTGCTTAAACCACCAGTTTCGGTTGCATCTGGCCAGCGATCCTTTTCAAAATTGAAAGTAATAAAAAAATATCTCAAATCAACTATGAGTCAAGGCAAGGTAAGTAACTTGTCTATTGTTGCAATTGAACATTCTTTTTTTTGTATTCAGTTATATTACATATATGAATACATACGTATTTATGTTTTTTATTAGCAAAATAGATTTCGGTTCGATAAAGATATTTGTTTGTTCATTGGATACAAAATAAATTTTAATTTAATTTTAACGTTTTAAACACTGGTCCTTAATTTTCCACTTATTTTAACACAATTTTAAAAAAAATCATCTTATCATCTATATTGAAGATGGGCGCCAAATTCAAACTTGCACTCGGGCGCCAAAAGTCCTAGCGGCGGCCCTGTGTCTTAACACATATTCCGCCGCTCTAGCATCTGTGGTATCGTTGGATGCTCCCTTGAGCCTTATATGCGAAAACATTCCTTCCACAGCATCAGAACTGAAAGATTTTGTCAGAACATAATAAAAACCTGACTCCTCCAGAAGAAATAAAAAAAAAGTGTGTCGACCCAGACACTGATGGAGTTTTAACTCTGCGTTGTCAATTTGTATAAATTAAACACGTACACGCGGCGAAGTCATTAATTTTCTCTTAAAAAATAATAAAAACCAAAAATATGTTGCATTTGTATTTTTTGACAAAATGATAATTAATGATGATGATTGGGTTAATTAAAGTAAATATCCATGTATTGCCAACTATTGTTTATTATAAAATATACTTTTTTTATTTATTTATCACATAGAAATATCATAATTCATTATTATTATAATATTGTAATAAAATTAATGTAGAATGTGTAATTTACAATTTACCAACTAAAGTAACGAGTAAATGTTTATAAATGCTAGAGTATTTATAACTTACCTATTCGATTTAAAATACCAATTACTGTTCAATCATAGCGTTATCGCCTTCGGTATCTTTATCCCTATCATTTAATACAGTTATTAGTGGCCTATGGTAACTAAAATGAGTTATATACATATCAGCTCTTAAATGAGTAATAAAGCGTGTGAAAACGGCATCAATTGTTGTACCTAATTTAGTCGTTGGAACAGTCAAACGAACACATTTTATTAAATAGTTTATTTCTCTCTCTCTATAGCGCGGCGTTACATGCCTATGTTCATAAGAAATACATGGGGAGCTTACGGAACGACATAAAGAGGTCACTAGCGTTCTAAAGGTGCTCCGACCTTGAAGAACATAGTTTCTTTTTCATTTTAAGGTTTTCGGTGAACGTTTTGTCTGGTTTTGTCAGAGATTTCTTAGTAACCTAGATACGGCTATGGGCAGCAAAGAGTGGAACAACATGTATGAAAATAGTGTCGACATATTTTCAGTTCTCTGTCTTTCTCTTACTCGTTGTAATGTGCACTACATACTAGTGCTATCTTCGTCTAATTCTAGCGACTGTTAACATTGGTTGATAATTTGGCGCACTGATTTAAAATGGTATAAATGAGAATCATAACTCGAGTTTTTTAACAAGTGGCAAACGAAAAGTTTCTAAGCAATCTCCAAAATGATTTGTAATGTTAAGATTAAAATATTACAAGGACAAGATCGTTGGAATAAATTTGACTGTCGACTTCCCTTTTTTCGTACTTTTTCTTTATCATTCACACCGGCGAAACTCTTGAAAAATGACATAATACAATTTTCTTATAGTCAAAAGTTTTTGTTGCCACGAACGTTTCTAACATAAATAGAGAATCGTATTGTATTTATTTGCATGCACAATGTTGAGAGCTTAAAACGAAAAAGAAAAAAGACGTACAGCTGTGGTATAAATTTATTAACATTATTATTAAATATTGGTGATTTAATGTAATCTTAGTTACTCATTATTAAATAAAATGTATTTTACTAATTTACTTCTTATTTTCGCCTGTTTTGAAGCAAAATTTACCAGTTTTGCTTCGTGTTGCAAGCGAACTTTTAAATTAATAATTTTAAATTTGCGCTATTGCCTTCATCAATTGTATTTTGTGATTATCTAGTAATCCCTGAGAAATGCACTGATTGTTCATGTCGGGATTATTAAAAATCTTTGTAATATTTTTGCGAAACAAAAGAATTATTAGATGTTTCTTTGCATACAACACACACTCTGTAACCCATTTTTAGAAATTCTATGCAGTTTAAACTTATAACCGTAATATAAATCTTATAACCTAAGAAATCTCTTAGAACAAACTAACAAACACACAAACACCGGCCATTGTATGAATTAAGAACCGACTTGCGCTAGCAGAATTTAAGGGTTTACTGCGCAAAATCGTAAATTGCTAGGTTTAAACAAAGACCTACAAAATCATACTCCTGCGTTCCCATGCTGTAAAAGAAGATGGAAAGCAAAACGCATAGTGTACATGTTGGCCAAGAACGTATGTTCGCTTTTGCATAGGATCACCGTATCTAGGTTACTAAGAAATCTCTGGGTTTTGTCAACAAGAAATGTCATATTATTTACGGAATCATACGGGATGTTGGGTTATGGGGTTAAAAACAAACGTAAAATTTATTGTAACAAAGTAATAGATACTTACGACACAGTCTTACGATACATGTAAAAAATACTAGAAAATTCCAGGCTAAAGAGGTCAACAAACTGCAGGTTAAACGAAATAGTTTGATTTTCGATGTGTGCGTGTTTGAGCGGTCCAAGATTTTTTTTTAAATTTTAGTGTGTAAAAAATTCTAACTCTAATAAAAACTGAGACGAGGTAATCAAATGGAAAGCCTTTGCAGGGGTGGTGGAATGGTATTTTTGTATGCTTCGTTTTTTAGCCGCAAACCAGTTAACGAATACAGTGCATAAATTGGGAAAAACTCACAAAATATATTACCCACTACCGGAGTATAAACTGCAAAATGTTCAGGTGGCATCAT